ATAATAGCATTTATCATAGACTGAGAGCTGATGCACCAGGCCACCGGATCTGGGATAGTGGCTTCACTATAGGTAGATCAAATTATATTTATGAAAAGCACAGCTTTTCCAATATCATCTTGACAAAACTGGAGAAGTGGCGATCATAGATGGTGAAATAAAAACAACTACAACGCCACCCACTCCACCATGAGAAAGCGAAAAACCTAACAAACCCAAATCAAAAATACCCCAGCATTCGAACCCCACAGAAGCCATGTTTAGCTGCACAAAGGGGCAGGAGGAGAGAGCCTGGGGAAGTGTAGCAGCCCTTCAGAGGCAAGTAAACTCATTGTAAGGAACAGGGTTTTAAAATAAAGCAAGACAAGCCATTTTGCAGTGCTTCAGAAGGAGCCCCAGGAATCCCAGGCCCACCGGCAGCCGCAGGGCCCGGGCTGGGCCTGATGGCTGTTTGTACCCTGGGCTGCTCCCCTTTGGAAATGCTAACTTGGTTATTCAGCGTCTCCTTTGATGTCCTGATAGGTGCTATTAGATAGTCAATTAGGCATCAACGAGATCGATTGTTTGGGAATAGACGCTTTTCTGTTTGAAGTACCCGTGAACACTAACAGTGCCATCACCCCGCCGCTCCTTCGCCCGCGGGAACAATGCGGGCTAACACACAATAAATGACAAATGCTACCGACTCAGCCGGCAGCGCGGCACCCTCTTCCCTCCCGACTCACACGCTGCAAGCCCAGATATTCCCATTCAGCCACTGCGGGAGCAAACACGCACTTTGCATTAATAACGATTTATCTGGGAAATATTTTTGTGTGCTTTGCAGAACTAATGGACAAAGCACCTAGATAAGTAAAGTACAAGTTCGCTAGAAACAAACTAGTGCTTGAATTTCTATGCACGCCATCGCCACATTGCCTGAGGACTTGTGACACCTCCACAGTTGTTCAGAATTACCCAAGCAGAATAACTAAGAGCTGAAATAAGAATTAAAACAGCCCACCTGAGTACCGAAGAGACACTGGGATTAGCTCCCTACTAGGTACTATTAGGGGACAACACTAGGTCGAAGTCTATGAGTTTAAGACACAGATACAAAGGAAGAGTAGTAAAATCTTCACAAGGAACATGCCGAGACCAAGAAGTATCTCCTCTTTCTTCCCCCCTCCACTTCGGTGGGATTTATCAAGTTAATTGTCATCTAATTGAGTATCAAAGAAAGAGATAATGGGCAGCAATTAGATGTAATGGCCTAACAGTGCGAGATCTCTCTCGATTAGCACACAACGCCGAATAACTTCACCTAGTTTGTAAAGAGGTCCCTGGAGTGGCTCCACCATGTCTGGGAGCTGCAGGGGGGTGATATACCCCGATCCTATTCCCAGTCCCCTGATGGCTGCTTTAGCCAAATTGGGACGGGCGGTTCCGAGCGCGGTCGCTGGAGGCTCCCCCGCCCCGCGGTGTTAATTCAATCAGGCTTCTCCCCCTCCGCGCACGCACTGCAGGGGAGAAGGGCTTTGAAGTTAGCGCTCTGGCAATTTTCCCCTCCCATCCCCTTCTCCTCCCTGGGGTGCCCAGTTTCCACATTATACAGCCTCTTCCTCGAGAGCCGCCGGGCCAGGAGGTTCCGACAATTTCACCCCACGAGCATTAAACTACTCCTCCCCAGCTAATCGACTTTTTTTTTTTTCTTTATTTCTTTTCTTTTCCCCCGTCGCATTTGTAGCTGACTTGCCCACACCGCTCGAGCGTTCCGGTGCTGGGTTGTTGCGGTGCGATTGAAGTGGCAAGGGCGGGGCGCTCCCCGCCGCGCTGCTGGGTCTGCGGGGATCGGCGGCGGGCGCGATGCCGAGCTGGAGCCGGAGCTGGAGCGCTCCGATCTCCTGCCAGGGGCTGATACCGTGCAGGGGCCTGCCCTGGCACTAATGCCCCTTTACTTCTGCCATGGCTAAAGCACAGTGAAGGAGAAATTCAAACACGCAGGAATAAATGAAGTCCGATCTCCTTTCTCTAAGATCAAAGGAAAAACGTGCATTCACACTTTAAAGCCAGAGTTGGACACCTTTAGCAAAAATGAAATTACTTCATATAGAGCTTTCTAGACAACTGGAACATACTATTTACTTTCTAGAGAAAGCCAATTTTTGCAGGTAGGAGAGAAGTTATCATGTAGACAGACATTCGGAGGAACCTGATACCATTAGAGACTCAGCCAAGTGAGCATCACCTCTCGAGTTCATTTGAGCAATTACCGGGAAACAGCAATATTTGCAAGGTAGCCATGCCAAAACACTGGCAAAGTGTTTCATGTGCTTGCTGAGTATTCCTGTGGCCAAGGAGTCATTATGTTAAGTGACCATTAGCACCCTTTCGAGCAGAGATCGGCTTCTGCCTCTCCAGTCGTTCTGCCGCTCGTATGCCCAGAGCTGGGATGCCCCGTTACTCCCCTTACCCAGCGCTCACCCCTGGCACGAAACCCGCCAGCCTCAGCCAGAGCACGGGGAGCAGCACACGCCCCCCGGCTCGCTGAGCCTCCATGCCCAGACTGCCCCGTGGCTGCTGCCGCTCGGCCCCGCAGCCCCGCTTGTCCCAGCGGGGTCCCCATAAACCCAGCGGGCTTAAACCACGGCAAGGATGGCAGCACTGCGTGCTGTCCCTGTTGCACCGATTGTCTCTGCCTGGCTCTAAAGCTCTGCACGGAGCGGGAGCTGCTGCCCCGCTCCGGGCAGCGCTGGACGCGGTGGAGCCGAGCTCGGGTGCGGGCAGGGACAGCCCAGCCCGGCCGCTGCAGCCCCGCGTTACGAGCCCGAGGGCCAGGAGGGCAGACCCAGGGGTTGAGGGCTCAATCAGAGCCGCCCCAGATCACTTTTCACCGGGGACATGGGGAGCCGATAAGGTGTGCTCCTGCCTCTCCCTTTTCACCATTGAGGTGGAGGGAAGACGACACCCCCTTCCCCTACACAAACTCCGTCCCCCCAGTTCCCCTCCCAGGAAACTGCTCCCCTCTGCAGGCGGGAGCTCTTTGTTCTCCCTCTCTCCTCCTGAGCCTCTCCATCTGTCTCTCACTTTCGCCGGGCCCAGCTGCGGTGCTGCCCGTGCCCACTTCCCTTCCACCATCCCCCGTTTGGCCCTGGGGTGTGGCGCTCCCGGAACGCTGCGGGTAGTCCCGGTGCCCTCAGAGCGCTCCATCCCTTCACCCCCAGCTCCCCACACCGCCGCTCTGGCTTCCGAGAGCAGGAAGGGTTATTACCATTATTCCTTTTGTACGGGCTGGGCAGAGCATTTGGAGGAGTGGTGGGTACTCTCTTGAAAAGCGAAAAGCCACATGGAGTCTAATTCTTTCTTTCCTTTCTTTCTTTCTTTCTTTCTTTCTTTCTTTCTTTCTTTCTTTCTTTCTTTCTTTCTTTCTTTCTTTCTTTCTTTCTTTCTTT